AAACAATAAACTAGAAGTTCAGAGATAAACTTTAGAAGAAAAAGGATTCAGTATAAGTAAAAATAAAACTGAATATATGGAATACATTTTTAGTAATAATAAAAAATGAAGATAAAGAGATAACCGAGAGCGACCGCTTTCAATATTTGACAATGATTGGGAGAGATTGAAAACGATGTCAATCATAGGATTAAATCAGGATGAACTAAGTAGAGGAATGTGTAAGACGTGTTATCTGATGTTGAAACGTAAGTTTTATAAGATAGCTACTAGACTAGCAATACCCTATGATATAGAAGGTTGGGCAATTAAGAAGGAATACATTAAAAACTAAGTGTTGTAAAAATGAGTATTTTAAGATGGATGTATAGTAAAACAAAAAATAATAGAATTAAAACTAGTATATTTGTGAAACCGTAAAGTAACACCAATAGGAGATAAATTATGAGATAATTGACTTAAGCATTTTGGGCATATTTATCGAAAACACAATAATGCACCGATTAAGAAGAGTGATTTGACACATATCGATAATAATAGGAGAGGCAGAGGTAAGCTGAAAATAAATTTGAACAAAATAGTAAAAAAAAAAAAAAAAGATATGCTAGCTTAGGTTCAATGGAGAATATAATCCTTCATAGAACACAATGGGGAAAATGAATTCATATTATCGACCCAAATAGTTAGGATAAAAGTTAAGTTTAGTTGAGTTAATTTCTCCTCCCAATGGCTACTATATGAAACAATTCAATATTCAATTCACAAACTATTTCTAACATTAAAACTTACAAAACCATAGATTGGACACTTGACGCACATGATAGACTAAAGAATCTCCCAAAAGGCAGTCCACACTATCTTGGCAATGCCATAAAAACTTGCGGGTTCAAATCAAGGCCATTGGATCCTTTTGCAGACAATTGATTGTTGCCACTGTCCCATAAAAAATATCCATCGAGGGTATAGTCACACAATTTGAAGTTACAATGTGACTTGGCAAATCAACAACATTTTCCCTTAAGCCTTATTCCACTCTAGAAGTTGTAAGAGCAACATTCCATTATAATCTACCTTGTATGAATATGTTTGGTATGTACTGGAATTTAAATACTGGATTGAATTAAACTTTTTGATCAGTACTATGAACTGAAGCCTGAAAACTATTATTTCCCGAATGATACCCTCCCACTCTTTATTTTGAAATTCTTTGTTAAATATATTGTCATTTTGTAATCATTATCATCATATCATAATATGATGATCATATTTTAAATTCAACCAAAATGATAATAAAAATGGAAGTTGCCCGAGGGATTAATTCATGTTTAATTCATCAGTGAATCAAGATATTGTTGTCATCGAGTTCCTATGCATTTCGGAAGAATGAAATTTCTTTGGGACTAAAAGCCAACCAACTTGAATGCAAAAATCGCTGACAACCACTTTTCTATTAATTTATGTTTGATACAAGTCGTAATAACAATTGAGCTTAAGGACAAATGATTTACTTGCTAAAAGTGATGTTGAAGACAAATGAAGAAAGTGAGCTTCAGTGATGTTTGGTGTACCGAACTCCCGAATTGTGACATCTCTCTCTCTCTCTCTCTCTCTCTCTCTCTCTACGAGTGGATTTGGATTCGAACCATTGGGAATTTGAGAGTTAGGATTTGTGTGTTTTTTGGTTATTATAAACTCCTTCAAAGGGAATTTCCAAAAGAATTGTAAGGATTAGTTCAAAGTTGTTGAGAGAGACGACCCACAAATTACCTGAGACAAGGAGAGAGGAACCCTGAGAGAGATGTTCCTGATATTACCAAAGAAGAGTGGGTTGATGATCTTTGATTGCAGAGACAAAAGGAATTGAAGGCAAAAAAATGTCAAACGATAAAAAATTATAAAACTCCTATCAATTGTGCAAATTAGTAACCTCACGGCTACTGAAAATTTTAAGCCATTTTCAAGACATACTGATTTCATTAAAGGACACCTTTTTGCTATCAAACGTGCTGATCATTGAACTTATTATGTTTTAAGCATTAAGTGCTCTTATCAAACAGCACCTTAGTCAGCTTATGATTCTAGATTCTGGGAATTGCAATCTTCTAGTCACTAATGGTTAACCTGAACGAGCAAATCTCCCTCCCTAAACCATCTTTTAAGAAAGCCATCTTGGGTCTATTTGCTAAAGTATCAAAAAAGCTTTCAAAACGCTGTTGTTGATCACCAAAGCAAACCTCAAGTCTGCTGCCTTGTTCTTACATTTAGGAAGCATGATCTAGCTATCCTGTAATTTCATAACAAGCCTCAAGCATAATACATATAGATCATTTGAAATACAAGAAAGTAATTACGAAATGATTTTTGACTGTTAACAGGGTTTCTGTGCTCTCAATTATCTTGCAAGAATGGAAGAACACCCATAAACTTCTGTTCATTTATCTCAAAGAATTGTTGCTTGCTGACTGTACATGAAATGATATCACGGTATTAACTAAAATGATCTCCCATTATACAAGAAACTTTAATTTCACAGTATAGTTCCTTATTGAAACCATTCACAACATTTCAAAATGAAATTCAAACTTACAACCTCACGACAATGAAGCTGCGCAACTTCTTGAGAACCAGAGAATTTAGCTGGGGTAATTTTGCAAGCATCTGCATGGTGAATGCCATTTACCTGCCAAAAGAAGTGCAATTTCAACTTCCCTTATTATCTAAACTTGACACACTCAAAAGACTCTGTGTTTTCTACCAGAATGCAACATGCAATCATTAATGAACCGAAGCATTTTTCTTCTATGAGAAGTTTATCCGATTTGACATAATACGTTCAGAGTCAACAAGATTCTTTGTTTCGGCTAATGCTAAAACTTCATTGGACCCGAATATATAAATCACAATTCCAAGTTCTATCCAGTAAGGAAAGATTGAAGAAAAGCACAGAAATGAGATGATTAGAAATCATAAATTTCATACCGGGCACACATTGGGCATTCTATAATCAAGTTTAGGATGAAATCAAGTCTTCATATATATTTTACTTGTGTTAGTAAGACAGTGAAATCTTCTCATTTAAATTTCATAATGTTTAGGAACTACGTATCAGTGTTGTGAAAAGCGAGCCTTGGTCGCCTTGAACATCCCAGGCGAAGCGAGGTTAAGTAAAGCAAGGAAAAAGTGAGTCTAGGCGACAAAGCGAAGAAGCGAGCCAAGCGAATGCCTGATTGCAGTTTTTTTATTTTCTCCTTCTCTATCTCCTCCTTTTTCCTTAACATTAACCAAACCTTAACAGAGATGATGTTATATGTGTATATATATAAATTGAATGATTCATCTAACAGTATTATATGACAATCTATTTTATTATGATTAGATAATGATGAATGTGAATGTTCTTGTTAATCAATTTGCTTGATTAATCAATTTGTTATATGTTCTATTTGATTAATCAATTTGTGAGTGCTCTATTTAGTGGTGATATTAATCAATCACGGTGGAAGTCAAACTCACATTTGCTAACTTTACATTTAAATGACGTGATTATGTTAATTGATTATTTTTAAAATACAATAATGTTCAATATTTAATATCTTGTCTATTTAAAATTTGTTGATGTTTATTATTTTGGTTGCATTTAAATATATTGTACTTGTAAAGTTAAAATTTAAATATTTAGTAGTAATCAAAATATCAAACTAAAATATTTGTTTATTTTTTATATTGTTCGCTTTGCTTCGATGAAGCGCTCGCTTCGCTTCTCGCGTAGGCCCTCAAGAGACCGGTTCGCTTTGATTCCCTTTACGCCTTAAATAACACTGCTACATATAATCATGGAACTTATGAGATTTTCCAAACATGAACTCTAGTAGATTACGGAGGTTGTACTTTAGACTACAGAGTCCATAGCACAATAGTAAAAATGTCATTATTTCTTATTATTGGAGTTTTAACTAATAAAATCCTCCTAAAAGAATTACTCAATTAATTCTTGTTGCTAAAGATGCAGTGAAAGGGAGATTCTACACGAACAAAAACAATTTTAAGAGAACAAGTCTCTACATTTCCCCTTTACTTTCCTCTCTCCTTTGCCTCTCTCCTGTTGAAACCATCCTTACCTAATTCTTTAACTAATACCATTCCCAAGAAATCCTCAATCCAAGCCCAATAAATAAGTCTTCCATGCTATTAGGCGAGGCAAAGTGAGGTGAGGCTCTTCAATTGTACCACAATGGGCCTGAGCAATGTTATTTAAGGCATAAGCTGAAACAGTAAGGGTCTCCAGAGGCCTAGGTGAGAGGCAAAGTAAGGACTTCATTTAAGTGAGACAAACATTGTAAATAAGAAAAAAATATTTTATTATTGACAAATACTTCAAGCAAATCACAATTCACAACTAAGCACCCAAAATTATGAAGCATCCAAGTTTCAACTTTCCAAATACTAAGTACTATACATATTACAACAAATTAGAATTAATTTCATAATGAAGACATACTGTAGAGATACAAATGTAACAAACCATTACTTACAACAACATAACCAAAAAATTAAAGGGTTTTTGCAAAACTAAAATGTAAATGGCTTACTAGAGGAGTATAAATAAAGAAACAAATAAAAAAACAGAAAGCTCTAGGTATTAGGAACAAAAACAGAAAAATGACAAAAAAAAAAAACTAACACCAATTAAAAAATACAAACCAGGTCAGCTCAAAAAGAAAGACAAAGATCGAAATATTGTTTCGGCGTACCGTTTTAGTCAACTCAAAAACGGAAACGTTTCGGAAATGCAATAGAAATACAAAAAAATATGAAAACACAAATACAATCCATTTATTTATAAAGATAAGCTTAATAATTGATTGATCGAGTATGTTCATTGGGTTATCGATCACAAACACGAGAGAGAGAGAGAGAGAGAAGAAAAATCGATGAAGACCCACCCACCAAATCAATGACGACTCAAATCAAAGAGAGAAAATAATTTTCTGCAAATCAATCAAAACGGTTCGAAATAATGACGTTTCGTTCGAAACACATGAATTTTTACTTTTTACTATTGTTTCGTGTTGGTGTGTTGAAAATTCGAAACGTTTCAAACTTGTCAACACGACATTTAGATTCTTGGTTTTGAGGTGTTTCGGACTATTTCGCTATGTTTTGACGAACGTTTCAAAAATAAATATTTAAATTTCTCTTTGTTTTCATGTTTCCGAAATATTTTCAAAAACATTACTGGAGCGTTTCTGTTTTCAAGCTCACCGAAATGAAATTTTAGTCTTTGGCTCTACTACAAAATCTTGAATCTTTTTATGAGTTAATTTAGTTACATGGAAGAGTAAGAGGTAGGCAATACTAACACAATTTAACGACGAAGCTAAGTGTTGGTTCACACATGTCATGAGCTGACATTGCTAAGGCATTTTCATCAAGAAATTGGTTTTCAAGCTGAAAACACAGTTCAATTATTTTCATATTTTCAAAACATTACTGGAACGTTTCTATTTTCAAGTTCACCGAAATGAAATTTTAGTCTTTGGCTCTACTACAAAATATTGTATCTTTTTATGAGTTAATTTATTACATGGAAGAGTAAGAGGTAGACAATACTAACACGGTTTAATGACGAAGCTAAGTGCAGGTTCACACATGTCATGAGCTAACATTGCTACAACATTTTCATCAAGAAATTGGTTTTCAAGCAGAAACCACAGCTCAATTATTTTCCGATAATCAAGCTATATTTCATATAGCTTCGAAGCCCATGTTTTACGAAAGACTAAATACGTTTGAGTTGCCTGTCACTTTCAGGAGAAATACTGAGTGAAAACATCGTTGCACCATTTGTTATCTGAGTATAAACTTGTTCATATGTTTACTAGGTCATTGAGTCATACTCAAATAAGGAATAAATATTCCAAGCTGGGAATGTCTAATAGTCAAAAAGTTGATGATTTATCTGAAACTTCTCGCTAAATCCAACTGAGTATGACAATACTTGGCTAGGAGAAATTGGCAATAATTGAATGTCTAAGTACGATAATATTTGATTGTTGGGGGAGTGAGATATTGGTTAATATGAAAACTCAGTTAGTTAAATATATGATTAAAGTCATACTAGGATTTATATACATTTAATATGAATGTATAATACATGTACAAAGTTCATAGATAATTTTAGAGAACATCATTTCCCATTAACACGGTTCATTGATAAAATTTAACAGAGGGTGGTAGGAAAGCTTCAAAAAATTAGAGGGGTGTCCTTGAACATATGATAAATTACAAGGGAGGTGGATGAATTTTTTTGCTATATCTATTATTAAGAGTATCAACGTAAAAGCGTCCATCACGGTCATTAGGAGAAAAACACTAACTGGGTTTCAGTGAAGTTGCATATAATCACAGGGATGCCCTTAAATTTATGTATATCTATAAAGGATGTTGATGAATTTTTTTCCAATATTTCTACCTGCACGCAACACACTAGTAAAATATCTCCAAAGCTTTAACTAAAAGCCAATTAAGGATAAGGAAAAACATTGATTCTAATGACAATTTTTACATAAAAAACATTCTCTGGTTGAATCATTTTAAATCAACAAAAAACAAAGCTCGAATGCTCAACAAAAATCTGGAATCTAGCAACACACTCTTGGTCTAGTAAACTTGTCCAAGCTTTGGAAAGCATGTTACTAGAAATTCCTAGTACGCTGGAAAATTCAAGATGGAAAAAATAAAGCAAGTTGCCAAATGATTACATCATTCAAAACATAGAAAAGGTAAGAAAAGGCAAGGAATTGTCGAAAGCATATCACAAAATTCTTCTTAAGAAGTTCATAAAAAAAAAAAAGAAATAAAAACAGTATTTGGCTATATATCTCAGAATTCTCTTATAGCAAGAGGTACCAGAGACCCGTGATTAGATTACCTTTCAATCAAGTTAAAAGAAAAATCCCTAAGAAAGATATATAACATGAATGAACCAATGATTCAGCTAGAAATATGCTATTTCCAATTCCACACAATTATCATGCTGACTAAAAATGTAATGCAATCAATAAACCCCTTACACCAGCGCCAGTGAGAAAAATAACCAAGAAAGCATTCAAAACAAAGAACTGATTATTCATATTAGGGGTGTGGAAGAGGAGCACATGCCATGGCCATGGTCAGAGTGGAATTTTTACCCATTCTTGCCAGGAATGTACAACAGAAATATAAAATACCAAAAATACATGTTCTAATGATGCATTACCAATGAGATTTAGGGACCAAATATCAAAATACCGCGTACCTTAGAATATTGGACAAAGCATTTAAAAACCACCGACCAAACGGTGAAGAGGAACACTAGAATGTGAACAGCGAAAAGGCCACCAAGAACTATAAATGCGTCTACAATGTCTAAGCTAGGAACAATGGTTGTCAGCCAAACAGCATAGATAATGGCAAAAGGCCACACGTCCAAGCGCCATGACCAGTACCTCTTTCTCAGAGGATCAACTCTTTCCACCACTTTCCCACCAACATGGAAGCTTGACATCTCACTTCCAACTTAACAAACACGAACCCAGATTAATGACAAAAGCAACCCTCTCTTAGCACTATTCTGCATAAAGAAAAAGAACATGAATTAAGAAACCAATCACATAAAACTATTTCATAGTCCGAACGAGCCCCATTAGATTGCATTTTCTTTACTTAGAGCAATTTCATATTGAATTCTGCTCATTAAACTCTGAATTCAAAATGTTTTAATGACCTATAAGCAGCAAAAAAATTCAAATGCATGGTGTTAACTTTTTGTAATAGGAAAAAAAATAATAATACAGCATGCCCCACACGATATGCCCCAAAGTAAAAAATAAGTTAAATATTCTGAATTAGCACATAATATGCATTATCACTATCACCTTTATTAAGCATGTTGAGACATCTGTGAATAAATTTAATTTTTAACTAATACTTGTGGATCCAAATTCCCAATATACACTTGTGACATTGAGAGCTATAATTCGGGCCTTTATATACATGAAAACATATATGTTAATATAGAGGATGGGTATAAATCAAACTTTGAATCGAGAACTTTACCTGAGAAAAAATTCTAGGGTCCTTGACAGAATCAACTGAAGGGCGGTGATCGACTTGAAGTTACTAATATAGCGTTAGACAAGTGAGAGTATTCGACGTTTGGTCTATTGAAATATGAATTTGAGCCTTCGTTCAAGATCTAGATCAAGTCGATGTGCTCTCTCAATCGATCTGTCATTAGTACAATCTCAAACAATCTACACTGTTTCTCTGATTCTTTGATCGACAGTTCATCACACTCTCTCTCTCAATCTCAAATCAAATGTTCTCGTTCTTGGTCTTGTATGTTTCTTTTCCTTTAATATGATCCAAAATTAAAGAATTATGGAGGACTAGTTACCCCTCCCTCTATTATATAACCAATCTCATCTCTCTCCAAAACTAATGTGATAGTTTTTGAGTGGGTTATAAGAAGTATGAGAAAAAAATCATTTGAAAATTAAATGTTTAAATGATTATATGTTCAAATTAGTCACATTCGTGGGTTATATAAGAAATATGAGAAAAAAATCATTTGAAAATTAGATGACTTTGTGTTCAAATTAGTCACATTCATTTTGTTGTGTTGGTGGAGCCTCTTAAACCGCTTATTTAAAATATATAGATTGAAGCCCCTTGACTAGTAATGGGATTACGAGCAACTTAAACTGGCTGTAACAGCAACAAGAGTTTGATTCCTCATTTGTTTCCTAGAAGTGAAACCAACAATATCATTATGGTCATGCCACATCATTTGGTCACTGTTTTTGGTCTATTTTTTGGTTAGCCTAGCATTAGTTTTTTATACAAAGTGTCAAACCCAAATAATTCAAATTAGATATAAAAACAAGTTTAGTTAGTACTAGCAATGCAACACATATGCACGTGAATAGTTTTGGTAGACAAAAAGTGCTAGATAAGTATACCTGAATTAAATATCATCTCAAGATTACCAAACTTATTTTCTTATTACTTATATTATATAAGTGTATTGAATTAAATATCATCTTAAATTTACAAAACTTATTTTTTTATCACTCATATCCTATTCTATAAAAGAGTCTATGCTCTTTTCGTCCCTTACTGTCCACAATGATGGCCCCAACATCTCCTCCCTCTCACTTCTTTTTGCATGGCAGCCTCACTTCATGTGTCCTCTATTTTTTTATTTTATTTAATTACTTTTTTCTTTTTTCACCTAGACTAGATATCAAAGAAACAAGTGTCATGGTCACCTAGACTAGATATCTAAGCAATCAATCTCTAAAGAGGTCTCTGCCCTTTATCTTACTTCATATTCAGGCGTCTAGGTAGGCAAGCTATTTATAGTGTCGTTTAATTCCACAAAACAGTCTCATGTACATTTTCGTATAGGTTCGTGAGACGCTATATTCCTTAAGAGTATTGCAATAGAAAATTTTAGTTATTTAAATTATGTTATTAGAATTTATTATTTGTTAATTAAATTGGAAAAAATTAATTCCAAAATATAAAATTCTTGATGTTTACGTGAGGGTCGATAAATAGGGGTCTGGCCGGGACAACTTATTGACACTTAAAAAAACGTTGGTAATTTGATCTTTCTCGAGGTATATCTTCTGTCGACAGAAACACGAGTATAAATAATTTGCGTTTGATTAAGTGTTGGTAGTTTGCGGATGCTATTTTAGACAACATTTATTTTGAGCATTGAATAAACATGAGGAAGTTTTACCCATTCTTGTTTTGTTTTTTTCGGCATTTGACAAATGACATGTTTGCCTGAACTTGAAATTCTTGTGGTGCTCACATGTTAATAAAATTGTGGTTGTTACTCTTTATCAAAATTAGAAACGTCATGGTACTCCCTCATTCTATCAAAGCTAATTAAGCAAAAAATCAATGCTAGCACTTGAGACTTTCAAGATTATACTATATAATGTTTGACCTTCTTACAAACATCATCTATTAGGTTGTTTTCCCCATAACTTGGGGACTCGTCGTGATACACCTGCACTTAAGATGGTTAATGCATTTGAGAGAGCATCTAGCAAGGTAATTTCTCTCTTTCCAACACATTTCTACATATAGACACATACTTGCATAAACAACTAAGTTTAGGACTTTATAGAATTTTCATATACTTTTTTTCCAGATATACATGTCAAACTGTGCCCAGAAGGGCCGGGAGATACGACGTTGTTTATCTAAAAGTTGTGGAGTTTAGTTGGAAGTCAATTCTTAACTAATTTTCCCACAATAGGTTAGCAGTCATGATAGAAATCTTTAGAGGTGCTACCTTGAATATGCGAGCATTTCATCGAAACAAAGTGAAAAATATAAAAAATCTATAATATAAAACAGGACGGCTTGAATAAGCTTATCCTAAGGTCTCAAATACACTAATCCATTGCAACCGCCACCGCTTTCTTATTCTCCAAGGTATACCTCTTATCTTCTTCTTTCTCTCTCATACGCAACTATCCCCTTTTGTGAACACCCCCACCCAAATTCTCCCCCCTTTTTGCAAATCCCCCCTTTGTGCAAACCTCTCCCCATGCACAATCCACCCTCTACACATACACACCCACAACACAACACACGCGCGCACAAAACACACACACTCAAACCCTTTAACATACACATTCACGGGTTCTCTCTCTCTTAGTCTACCAGTGCCACCATCACTATCATAGCACCACTATCAAGACCACACAACCATCTCCAAGGTATTTCTCTCCCTCCCCTCTTTTTTTCTCTTATTGAAATGTTTGCCAAAATGCCCAATACAAATACCCTAATCATAATACCCATGAAGTTTTTGTTGAAATTCCTAATACACACACACACGCAGATCACACCCACACCCACACCCATAGTGTGCACACATCACACCCTCACACCATTCTCCGCTGACACATACTGTTGTATGCAAGCACATCTCTCTCCCACTCTCTCCCTTTTCCTACTCTTCTCATACACTCAAGGATCAAAATGTCGTGTCGACACGTCCGAAACGTCCGAAACGTTTTGGAATTTCAACACTCCGAAACGAAACAGTAGTTGAATCACAAAATTCCAGTGTTTCGGTCGAAACGGTACTGTTTCGGACCGTTTCGACAAAACAGTGTTATATTCGGTTCATTATGAATAATTATATTTAATACCCCATTATAATTACATTTAATACCCACTGTAATTACATTTAATACTCACTATAATTATATTTAATATCCCACTATAATTACATTTATTCCCACTGCTCTTCTGTCTTTTATAATTTTTTTGTTATAAGAATAAATAATTACACTTAATACCCTACTATAATTATATTTAATACCCATTATAATTATATTTAATACATACTGTAATTATATTTAATACCTCACTGCTGTGCAAGTTTTTTGCTTTTTTTTTTTGTTATAAGTATTAACAATTACATTTAATACCCTAATGTAATTATATTTAACACCTACTGTAATTATATTTAATACCCACTGCAATTACATTTAATTTTTAAGTATACATAAGTATCATTAATTTAATTTGATACCCTTCATTATTAGTATTATAATAAAATAGTATTATTAATTGGATTATATTACCGTAATAATATGATTTGGAGTAACTATTGTCATCATATTTATGTCACATATGTAGTTTCTCTAAGTAGCTACCCAGAGCCTACACCGATGTATGAGCCTGCTCGACACTCCACAGGGGAATGGATGTAACCATGTAAGTATGTACTCATTAGCATTTCATGTGTATTATAAGACCTTAATATTATGTAAAAATGTGTTTATTTCATAAAATTAAGTGTTTGAAACTAATTTAAGTGACTTTCGCCTCAAGTCAAACCTTTTTTTCCCTCAAATTTAAATTTATTCTTGTATAAATTGATGTTAACCTAATAAATATGTTGAATTAATAAATTATTTAGCATATCTTTATAAATTAATGGATTGCATTTGTGTTTCTATGCGTTTCCATATTTTTTCTGCGTTTCCATTGCGTTTCCGAAATGTTTCCGAAACGTTTCTATTTTTGAGTTGACCGAAACGGTACTTCGAAACGAAATTTTGATCCTTGCATACACTAATAGCACACACCCAAACACCCCCCCCCCCCCCGCCATCAGACCCACACAAAGCCCCTCAGCCAACACTGAGCACACCCACACACACACACACATATAGCGAGTTTGGGTGTACTTTTTCTACCATTTTTAATATTTATGCAAGTTTAATGTGCTGTGAATCTCGTGATTGGGTCAATTTTGAGGTGGTTTTATGGATGTTGAATTTTGTAAATTGAATTGTTAGTTGAAATTGGGCTATTAATGCGTTGTCATTGTTTTTTTGCTTATGAACATTCATGATGTCAATTTAGAAATTAATCAACAATATGAATTATTATTGATTTTCTTATTCTAAGTTTAGTTTTTCGTAACCAACTTAGCCACATCTTTTAAAAGTCATTTAGAACTTT